CATGCCGCAACAGATATTGTGAAATGATATTAGGATTAGGTTACACGCCGCAACAAATATTTTGATAAATGTTAGAATCAGGTTGCGCTCTGCAAGAGAGTATGATGTGTTGTAGCTATAGTGTTTAATCTCGGTACTATGATATGCGGTTATGAGACTATGTTATTCTGGGGCCCTATGTTAGTTAATCTTCGGGTCTTATCTTATGAGTTTACTGCTTTATCTATATTTCTGCCTTCCTTTATTGTTATTCGTACATGTTTATAGTGAGTTTCATGTCATAGCCTCGTCACTACTTCGCCGAGGTTAGGCTCGATACTTACAGAGTACATGGGGTCGGTTGTACTTATACTATACTTTTACACTTCTTGTGCAGATTTCGGTATTGGTCCCATCGGTGCGTAGAGGAGTTCGCTCGGATCTGACTTTCCCAGGAGACTTGACGTAGAGTTGTTTGGTGTCCGCGGTCTGTAGGGACAACCTCTATCTTGTTTTACTTTTATTCTAGTTTCAGACAGTTGTGTTTCATTTCAGACCATGTTTGTAGTATTCTAGACGCTCATGTACTTGTGATTCTGGATTTGTGGGATTAGTATATACTGCATTACTTTTGGTATTTATCTCATGTATTTTGGAGTTTATCATCCATTAATTATTATTGTTCTAATTTTAAATTATTAAAAATAGTTAATTAATTAGCTAACGCTGGCTTGCTTAGCAAGTGGATGTTAGGCGCCATCACAACACCATGGTTGGGATTTCGGGTCATCACAAAATGGCCTCAAAAATTACCTCAATCTAAGCTCCCAATTTCAATATGATAAAATGAGCTCAAAGTTCGAAAATAGGACCTTATCCAACTATTCCAGGAGTATCCTTCACGATCGAGGGACCGTGAAGCACTAAGATGAGCACTGCCAAAAATGCACTTCACGTTCGCATCACTGACCCCGCGAATGTGATGACCACAGATACCAACCCCTTTGCGAATGCGTCCTGGACCATGTGAACGCAAAGACAAAACCACCAGCTCCACCTCTCATCCGTGAATGCGACCCTGCTCTGCGAACACGATGGGAAAGCCACTCAACCTCCGCGAATGCAACCATCCTGAACATGAATAGAAAAAACCACCCAGCTCCAACATACACTTTGCAATCGCAGTCCTCCTCACGCGATCGCGAAGAAATACTCTGAAATTACCCGAAAATACTCCCAAGTCCCTCGGAATCCCCTAAGGACATACCAACAAGTCCCAAAATATAACACGGGCCTACTTGAGGCCTCAAATCACACAAAATAACATTAAAACGGTGAATCTTGCATCAATTCAAGCTTAATGAAGTATTTCAAAATTCCAAATACAAAATTACACCGAACACGTCTAAACAACTCGGAATGACCCAAAAGTTTGCACACAAATCATCAATCATCATACGAACTTATTCCAAGGCTCGAATTCCCAAACGGATATTAGTAGCCACAAAATCAACAATGGGTCAAACCTATTAACTCTCCAATCTTTCAAACTTTCAACTTTTGGCAATTAGCCTCAAAATTATCTAGGAAAATCGGAACTCAAATCCGGGTATATGCCCAAGTTTAAAATAACCATCCGAACCTAACGGAACCATCAAAATTCTGATCCGAGATCAAATACATAAAAATAAAAATTGGTCAACTCTTCCAACTTAAAGTTTCCAAATCAAGAGTCATTCTTCCAAATTAATCCTGAACTACTTGAAGGCCAAAACAGACCATGAACACAAGTTATAATACATACTATGAATATACTCAAGACCACAACCACCGAACATAAATGCTAATGCTCAAAACGACCAATCAGATCGTTACAGAAATATTAACAAAGGAAATACTTAATCTTATTCCAAGTTTTAAACTTCCAAATCCAACTAAGTATCTACTATGTGTATTTTCCATAGAAGGAAAAATAAGAGAGTAGGCTGAATTAGTAGTAAAAATACCATTTGATGTAGGGGACCACATCGGGGTATCAACAATACTAATAGCATGTTTGGCCTAGAGGCCAAAAGTGTTTTTTTCTCAAAAGTACCTTTTTTCTCAGCTTAAGGTGTTTTTTTTTTAAAACCACTCGACACAACGCCTAGTGTTATTTTTTATATATATGTAAAACAAAAACAAAAATAAAGTAGTGTATTGTCTTACAAAGATTAGGTAATATAATTTTGACGATTACATAATCCATAATACCATATTTGAGTAAATGATACTCAACTATGGTCGAACAATTTGAGCTAACTGAAGACTGGGAGAGCAAAATACTTGTGTGCTAATACTCATTAGTAACAAATATCCCTATGAATTGCAAGAATGCATCAATTCTCCACACTGCCCCTACGTTGTGCAGCCTTCATTGCTGGTTGTGCTTACATTTTGCCCCAGCATTATCCAGTGTTGTAGGTGAGAGCTCCTGCGTCCTCGATCCATATGTACTCCCCTCATTGTACGTGTTGTTGTTGTTGTCCTCCAAATTGTGGAGCTGTTCCTTTTATGTAACCTTGCTGTCCCAGCACAAACAACAAAATTAAAGTGTAGTTGTTGTTGGTATTAATCCTTGATAGATCCAGTTTGCCAGCCTTTCTCATAGTTTCAAATGTCCAGCAACTGTTCAAATAGTTGTGCATACACTGTTCGGTGATTACTTGGTGCATTTTCCATCCATGGTCCGATGAAATCTTTGTATGGCATCAATCCTGTGATATAGTGAGAATTAAGTCATTTGTGGTTTTGTTCCACTATATAATTGTTGATCCTCTTTTTAGACAATTGACATGGTCCTCCATGAAACTGGAGAGTCTTCCATTTTGCTTCAAAACACTGTCTGCAATGGACACAGTTGCTTTTCCTGCAAAAATGAAAATGAAGTTAGTGAAAATTCCACCATGTTCTCATCCACACCGATTTGTCATTGGTTTCCTTCTTCCCCTTGCCCTTCTTTCCCCCTAGCCTCCTAACTCCTTGTAGCTTTGATCCTTAGATATGGACATTGTAACTTATCACTGTTTATCAACCTCCTACCTTGCACATCCAGTTCGTTATAGCCATTACACTCCAACGAGCCAACATTCAAAGCATAATTTGTCAGGTGATCTGCAAGTTTATTCCCTTCTCGAAATGTGTGTGGCACTTCTATGTTGCATCTTAACATCAACTCCTTGATCTCCTCGATATAAATAGCCACATTCCATGGGGCAGTCCATGTACCTTGAATAACATTCTTAAGTAACAAAGAGTCAGTGTGTAGTTGTATGAGTGTGTAATCGTGTGCAATACAGTATCTTAGGGCATTCAAAATTGCAAGTGTTTCAGCTTCAGTGTTAGTCCCTTCTTGAACCTCCTTGCCACACGCGTATATCACATTCCCTTCCCTCATTCCTCAACAGAAAACCAATTGAACTCCTCCCTGGATTACCACTAGATGCACCATCCGTGTTCAATTTTATCCAACCAGCTGTAGGATATTCCCATATCACCTTAGTAATCTTCAAAGTAGGAGTGTATTGTTCCAGTAAAGCCAATAAATTTGGCCACTTGTGAGGCACATTCTGCATTTTTGGTTTCCTAAGCTTCACCAAAGCTTGTAGTGTAGAGGATACCTGGTAGATCACCCTATTTATTAAGACTGCCTCCCCATGTTTGTAGAAATTCCTCCTCTTCCAAAGTTCCCACACAATGACTGATGGTAAAGCCTGCATTATAAGTTGTATTCTGGGCAGCACATCTGATGTCCAACATTTTGTTATTGCTTGGTGCAATGTCAGTCCTTCCATAGATATTCCTGCACATGAAAGAAAGTAGTTCCACACCTTTTTTGCTGCATAAGATTTGAAAATAAAATGGTGAAAAGTTTCCTCTTCTGGATTCAAGCAACACCAACACCTCGATGCCGTTAAATAACCCCATCTCCTTAAGTATTCATCCAGTGGCAGTTTATTTTTCCATTACTTCCACATAAAGAAAGATATTTTAAATGGTAATCCCTTTACCCAAATCATTTTGAAAGGATCTTTTCTTCTTCTTAAATAATCCCAAGATGTTTTCACACTGAAATCCCTATCATTCTTGAGCATCCAGTAAGGTTTGTCCACAACATCATGCACAACTGGAGGTTTAATGTTGTAAATGATATGTGTAGCTATTTCCTCCGGAAGTATGTCATACAACTTCTCTATATCCCATCCCTCATCAACCACCACTTCATACACATTTTGGACAGTGTCATCAATGACAAAACCTGGAGGTGTTATGAAGTATAAAGCACCAAGGCCTGTCAGGTTTTCAAACAAAAACAGTGATGATCCCATCTTCGTATGCCAACCAATTTGATGTTCAATAATATCTCTACATTCAAGCATCTTTCTCCCTATATGTGAACCTTTCCTCCAAGGAACCACCATTGCATTCATCTTTTTGTAATATTTCTGACTCACGAATGAACTCCATAATGTAGGCTTTGTTCTAAAGTTCCACCACAGCTTACAGAATAAAGCCTTTGATATGTCGTGTAAAGATCTAAATCCTACACCCCCTTCCTCTTTAGGCATGCACAAAGTATCCCATGATGCCCAATGTCTACTTCTCCATCAACTGAATTACTCCAGAAGAACCTAGCAAAAAGTTTTTGTAATTCATTGATCACAAAAGCAAGAGGGTTCACTGCAGAGAGCAAACGTATAGGCATACTTTGCAACACATGAGAGACTAAAACAGCTCTTCCTCCAATTGATAAAAGCTTCCCTTTCCATGCTTGTAATTTGTCTAGTGCCTTGTTTATTAATCCATGATAGTGATCCATCCTTCTCCTAGTGTTAGTGATTGGGCACCCTAGATAAGTAAATGGAAATTCTTGCTTACCGATTCCTGTGATACTTTGGACTTTCGCCACGACCTCCATGCTCGTAGAATGATGCATATGCACAACAAATTTTGCCTTATTGATCAGCTGGCCCAAAGCTTACTCATATGCATTTAACGTCAAGTGATGACTTATCTTCGAGGGCTTCATAATCCTTCTCCCACTGCTCAATTTCAGCTTTCAATTCTTCTTTTTCTGCCTCCGGGGCTTCATAAGTTGTCTTCAAAGGAGCAAGAAAACTTTCAAGGAACTGAATCTTAATTTTAGAGACACGGAGATCTTCTTGAGCTTGGGTAAGCATCTGCACCAAATTACGTGTGTAAACCTATTTTTGATTAGCAGTTCCTTCAAACTCCTTATCTTTTCAGTAGCCTTGGAATGTTGTTCAGCTCAATTGAAGGGATATTGCATCTGAGGATGAGAAAATGATTGTGTCATCTGCATAAGCTAGGTGATTGATCTTTGGACTCCATTTGGGTAGGCCAACACCACAAAAATAGAGGTTCATATGAAGAGCATTTAAACCCCTAGATAGAGCCTCAGCTACAAGGATGAAAAGTGAAGTGGATAGAGGATCCCCTTGCTTGACGCCCCTAGTTGATTTGAAGAAGCCATGTGGTTGCCCATTAACCAGAACTGAATACCAATTATTCGATATTATACCATATACAAGGCCAATGAACCTCTCCCCAAATCCCATCTTCCTTAAGACTTTAGTTAAAAAGAGTCAGGAAAGTTTGTCATATGCCTTCGTCATATCCAATTTGATCACTACATTAGGACCTGCCGGCGTCTGCAGCCTAATATCAGTAATTATCTCTTGTGTCAACAACACTGTATACGGTCGAAATAGATTTCAGCCTTGGCATGTCTGGTATGGTTCGAAGGGTGATGTACCGAAGTAAGATCCCGAAGAGAGGGCGAACTAACCTCGAACCCCGGGGAGGCCGGTCCGTGTCGAGATCGATATCCTAATCAAACTCGAACAAAAATCGAACCATGACCGGGGGTAGACCTATCGTGCTGATAATCCAAAGACCGACCAATATTGATCTGGAATCAATTCGAGGGCTCGAACCATGATCAGGTTCGAACCAAGATCACAAGTTCGAGCTGAAATCAAGCTCGAACCAAAATCAAGGTTTCTAAACGAGATCGAGCTCACAGACAAAAGACGTTGCAATCCCACTAGAGGGAATCTTGGCAAAAACTATGGAAAAGCTGACTTATCATGGGTCTCCCACTGAGTGTTTTATTTTATTATGCTCGGTGCCGAATCCCTCCACTATAAAAGGGCTTGGTTATCATTTCTGTAGCACAAATTTTTCTGAGACATACATTGTAATGAAAGTATTCTATTCCTCTACAGTAAAGAATGGCTCTTCCAGTTTCTTAGATTGATTCTATTTGTCGAATCCTAAGGTTCACTGTTCTTGATTGCCTTGTCTAGATTGCATTCTCTCCAATCTACATTCATATTTTATTTATCCTTGCATTTTGTATTAAATTGCGCCACATATCTTCGGAATTGCGTACAAATTTAACTCTATCCATTTTTCGGGTATACAGTTTGGCACCCACTGTGGAGCTGAGGATAACAGTGGTCATTTGATACAAATCTAAAAAGAACACGCCATTGTGCTTCGCACTTATTTCTGAAAACATCTTCAATTTAGGGTCAGCTACGAATAGCCACCGATCGAATGGTTTCACCGATCGATTACGAAGCCGGCCTTCAAGATGAAACCAACAACTTGGCACCACCCGAGGCTCGAATCGAAGTACCTAAAATTCGAGCCGAAATACCACTGGATATCAATTCACAAATAGCTTTGGAAGCGAACCAGCGTTCCGAACCGGAAAGAAGCATTCAGGGCGGTACTCGATCCGTAGCCCAAGACACCCAAAACCCAGGGGAAATCGGGGCCAGCTTACGCATGATCTTCGAGATGTTGCAAGCCCAACAAGTAGCGATAGCTCAGCTACAGAGCCAAACTCGCGCACAAAGCAGGCCGGTTTCCAATCCACTTCGAGAAGTCACCCCCAGAACAAAGCCTGCCATAGTGAAATCTAACGAGCAAGAATCGGGGACTACTCCCGGAATTACTAAATTGCTGGAGGAACTCACAAAACGAGTCGAAGCCAACGACATGAGGGTGGAAACGTACAATGCCAGGGTCGACCAAATCCCGGGGGCTCCACCAATGATAAAGGGGCTTGATTCAAAATATTCATACAAAAGCCTTTTCCGTCGAGTGCGGCACCGAAGCCAATCCCCAAAAAATTCCATATGCACGAAATTCCCAAATATAACGGTACGACCGATCCTAACGACCATGTCACCTCTTACACATGTGCCATAAAAGGCAACGATTTGGAAGACGATGAGATCGAATCCGTGCTGTTGAAAAAGTTCGGGGACACCATCTCGAAAGGAGCTATGATCTGGTACCACAATTTACCACCGAATTCCATCGATTCTTTTGCCATGTTAGTAGATTCATTCGTAAAAGCACATGATGGTGCCATAAAGGTTGCAACGAGGAAATCAGACCTCTTCAAAGTAAAGCAAAGGCAGGGAGAAATGCTGATGGAATTCAAATCCCGATTTCAAATGGAACGCATGGAATTACCCCCGGTCACAGACGACTGGGCCGTACAAGCTTTCACCCAAGGGTTGAACGAGTTAAGTTCGACAGCATCACATCGACTGAAACAAAATTTGATCGAGTATCCAGTGGTAACTTGGGCAGATGTGCACAACCGATATCAATCGAAAATTAAGGTCGAGGATGATCAGTCAGGGGCTCCGTATGGATCCGTTCATCAGAACAAGACAGTTATTAATCAAAAGCAGATCGACAGAGAACAAAGGTCGAACAGAGACCGATATCGACCATACGTCGCAGATCGGGTGAACGACGGTTCAGCACACAACGCAGTTCAGAACAATTAAAGAATTGATCGAGGACGAAATTCTCGGAGTCTTATGAGTAAGAGCGGCTTCGATAAATATGTCGAGCCTATAGAAGCACCTCGATTATCAGAATATAACTTCAGCATTGGTGCATCCGCTCTCGTGTCGGCCATCGGATGCATCGAAGGCACTAAATGGCCTCGACAATGCAGACCGATCCTGCCCGAAGAAATCCCAATCAAACGTGCGAATATCATGGTACCCATGGCCACAGAACAGAAGATTGCAAGCAACTAAGAGAGGAAATAGCTCGCCTATTTAATAAAGGGCACCTTCGGGAGTTTCTGAGTGATAGGGCAACGAGCCATTTTAGAAGTAGGGATTTCAGCAAGCAAAATGAGCAAGAAGAACCGCAGCACGTCATCCACATGATCATCGGCAGCATCGATACCCCTCGGGGACCAATGCTTAAACGCACCAAAACGTCGATGGTGAGGGAAAAGCGATCTCGGACTCAAGATTACGCACCCATGGGGACTCTGTCCTTTGGTGATGAAGATACAGAGGGGGTCATCCAACCTCACAACGACGCGCTGGTAATATCCGTACTCGTAAATAAAACTAAAATTAAGCGTGTGTTAATCGATCCAGGTAGCTCGGCCAA